TATTATTTTATGGCTATGTATATGTTTACGAAATATTAGTGTTTGGGTATATTGTGAAAGAAGTAGATTATTATTCTTCCGGTGAAAATAGTAGAAAATATGGTATGGAATTATGTTTATTAAATTCTTATTATATAATATATATTTAAAAAAAATCGAAATTTGTTTTTAAAAATATTATATATTTTTTTTATATAATTATTTTTATTATTTTAGGTTTTTTTAAAGTAGTTTATAATTATTAAAAGGTATATCTCGTTAGGAATTTATACCGAGAAAATATTATAATAGGTTTAAACTTATTGGTTATTAATAGGTATTGGGGTTTAAGCGGGGGGGTTAGGTATTTATAAAGGCGGTGGAGTTATTTAAAAAGAGAAATCGTAATTTTCGATAGGTTGGTTTTTTTTGTTTAGTCTAACGTTTGGTAAAACTGTTAACGTTATATATGGACTACCCGGTAACGGTCCAAAAGGTCCAAACGCATTTTTTGTAATTGGGGGAGGGGGTTATGTTTGGCTAATTTTATATTTAGGATTATATTTTAGGTTATACCTTTATTATTTTACAAAAGATATAAATAACTTTTATTAGGCCGATAGGGGAGGGGGAGGGGGATTAGATAATGCCTAAATACCGTTTTAGTTATTTTATTAGGATTACGTTAATTATTATAAATAATTTAGTATATTTTATAGTGGCGGGTTAGGATTAGGTGTATAAAGAAGGGAGGAAAGAAAATATGTTAGGAGCGGTGGTTGATTAGGGGGTTAGGAAGTGGATTTTAATTATTGGGTTAGTGGTAAAACGTTGGGGATTAACGATAGCTAATTAAAAATAGGGGGTAGTATTTATTTTAATTATAAAATAAGTAATATGTATTATAAGTTGGAAAGGGGTAGGGTTTAAAGTGTAGTATTTTATATTAAGGCTTATTTTATAGGTGCAATTATGTATATTAGCGTTTGTGGGTTAAAAATTGTTTAATATTATTATATTAACGTTTATGACTATGTAGACGCGCGTGTAGCGGGATATATTGGTTTTTTTTCGGTTTTATAAATTGAAATTTTTTATATTAATACGTTAGGCTATTTTATTTTTGCTATTTTTAATTTGGTAGTATTTTATATAGGTGGGTTATATAGTAATATAAGATTAGCGAGTGTCTTTATATAATTAGCGTTATATTTTTTTATATAAATATTTTTTTATATTAGTATGTTTTGTAGTGTTGATTATAATTATTTCGGCAATACCTTAAAATTATTTACTGTAAATCTTTTAAATTGTTTTTGGTATTTAATTATTGTTTTTTTGATTAAGCGTATATATAATATTTTATTATTAATAGTTTTAAAGTTTACTAATGTAAGGAGTGTTTATATTATTTTTTATTTAGGTGTGGCTATTTGGAAATTGATTTTTTTTTATTGTATTACTATGTGGTTGAATATTGTGTTAAGTATAAATATTTGATTAGGGAGATAGTTTAGGAGTTTATACAATTTGTTTATGTTTTCCTACTTAACAAAATTGTATATAACGCAAATTTATGCCTACACTAAACTTTTTACCTATATTTTTTGGGATATAGTGGAAAGGATTAATAATACAGGTGATGATAATTTTGTGGATAAGGGGTTTAAATTGTAATAGTTTACTAAAAATACGAACGGATTATATAAGAAGATGAAATTGTAATTTATTATAAATTATAAAAATAATATAAAAAAAAATATTAATATTATTTATATTATTGTAATAAAAATCTTCAAATTAAAGTAATAATGATTTTTTTAACTTTACTAATTTATATTGTTATTGTTTAGTAATATTGATTAGTGTTGGTAGGTATATATATATAGTAAAAATAATAAATAAAATAATAATAAATAATAGTGTTAAAATTGGTATATAATAAATATTTAAGGAAGAAAGAATTTATTTAAGGTTAATTAGGTATAGCATATTCTTATATTTTAATAATAATAGATATTTAACTCTTTTATTTAATAAAGTTGGGTATTTTATCTTTTCTTCTTTTATCTACAATAAAGGTACCTTATCATCAGTAAGGTGCCTTTATGTCAGTGTTACACAACCATCATAAAATCTTTATAAAAAAATTTATATAAATAATTTAAAACTTAATTAACCTTAATAAATATTAAAAACCTTTTATAAATAAAATAACTATAAAAATTAAATAATAAAATAACCATAAAATAAAAAATACGTATTAATAAAAATTAAAAACAATTAAAAATCTTTTTTAAATTAAAATTAAATTATTAATAACTTAAATAATAAAAGAATATTAAGATATTTTAAATTAAATTAACCTATTAATTATATTTAAAAAGGTGTATTAAATTAATTAATTATATTAAATAACTTAAAAATCTTTAATTTTATGTAAAATAACGGTATAACACGCGTTCCCACGATTTTACCTCAATCAATCAGATCATCAGAAACATGATAAATTAAACCTCATATAACGCCTATTCAATACGTATTAGTTGTGTAACAGTAACTAAGTGGCTTATGGTCGGTAATAATGATAACAAAAAGAAAAGTTGAAATAGAATTATTGTTAGCTACCTAGGTACATAAATATTCTGTTACACGAAATATTATGTTACACGTAATATCCCATCCGGGCTGTTATAGTTTATCTGTATAACTTTACCTAGCCTTGAAGGTGGCTCAAACTTGCTCCTTCCACAGATTCTTCAGCTTACAAGAGAACTTAGTATAGCAGATGATCAGTCCCGGGCAGATTTGTGTCAGCTTAGGTACTTACATATCTTAGGTACATTATACATACCTTACATGTGTCGAAGAGGGACTTCGTACATTAGCACCATGCATTCATGCGACGTTGGCGCATGCGGGCCGTAGGCTACAAATTGTCGAACCGGGGAATTACCTACCCGCGACGCGGGGCATCATTATATACTGTATGCGCCAAGTTACTGTGTCGTACCGTTAACACGATAGACATGGATAAAATACGGCTCATGTCTCATCATCGAGTTTGAATCTTCTCCGGATTCGGAGAGGCGCGGCAACTTTGAGTTTATCGAGAAATCAAATATCAATAAAGGAGACAGACTCGTCTCTGCCGTACGAAATACGAGGAATAACTAGTAGTACTATAACCTAGTAGTTCGATATTCTATGTATGTATGTATGTATGTATATATGTAGCTATAAAATAGCTCGGACCAGGGGCCATCACGTCAGATAATACTAATACGAATCAAGAAGCTCTAATCGAGCATCTGCAGTCACTCGGCATCTGATATGTAAACTAATATGTAAACCGATATGTAAAATGATATTTATACGATACCGACATATAGTGTATTTGCCCTACTGGCTTGATACAGTGTATTGCTGTTTCAACCACCCCGACAATGGTTGGCTTTTGTATCTTATTGCGATGCATCGACAGCAAGATAGACAGCGTAGGCAATGGTAGGTACCTATTATTGAAACCGATAGGGGAATACCTAGGTGAACGGCCAGTAGCCGCAATTGCTCGGAGCTTTACGATATTCGCAATTCATGGGGTCGGTACAATAGCATGGGACTTTTACACACCGCTTCTATGGTTGGATCACGGATGACGGTCCGCTCACGTTGCTCCTGATCCTATAAACTCCCAAGCGGCCAATCGAGACCCCAGCGCAAATCAGACAACATTTACACAGGTATTAGTGCTGACGAAGAATTGATCTGAGATTTTCTGCTTAGACCGCTAACAGTTAAATTTCCAAATGCAGAGCCGCCATCGGATGCTCTCCGGTCTTTAAAAGAACGAGGTTGACCGTTTCAGGTTGCCACATGCTTTAAGAGGCTGGGAGATTTCTGACATCGATGAGAGCATGCAAGAGCTTTAATATCGGTAAAGATAGATTCAACTCCAGGAAGAGTACAGCGGTTGTGATATGCAAACCGCTAATTCATAATCCCGTCAGCGCCAAACAAGAAGTGACAAAGTGTCATGCGCTTTTAGCATTCGTTGCATATGGCTCTTGGCCAAGAAAATGCGGCTCGTTAAGTTACCATTGAGCTGACTACGGCCGTCACATGGGATCCAAAAGGGTATGTCGTTGATGTCTACCTCCTATCAAAGTATTCAAGTAGACAAGGAGGAAATTATATATATGAAGACTTTTCTTATAACTACCTAATTAATTACCTAACTACCATATTATCATAGCCGAAGCTGATACCCGCATTTGGTCTTAGTATACTTGACTAACATTAGCATTGAAAGAGAAAGAAGATTCATAAAGGGATAATACGTTGTAAGACATCCAACAACTAAACCAATCATGATTCATCTACCCCCCCTTTTTCTTGCCAGGACAATCATGTTTGATACGTACGTTATCACCTTATAGCTTATGATGAGTGTAGCATTCACGTATGGAACGAGATAGCGGGGTGGGTGAGGTGGGTGAGGTGATCCCAAATTCGACTATAGACTCGATTCTGATTGGTCCCGCGGAACAAACGCGCCTAGACGCGTATATGGGTGGTTGTCGTTTGCAACGTGTAAATTACTACCGTAAGTAAGGTACTGTTCAATGTTTTCAATGGAAATAGTGAGTAGGTAGTTTACTCAGAATTATCCCTCAAGTATTGCAGCAAACTTGAGGAGATTGCCCAATCGAATTACATCAAGAGGTACGCACAGGTGTAGGGTGTAGGTACATACATCTTCCCTATTTTCGCTAAGAACTGGACCTTAGGTATGTATTGTACAATACCTAAGGTTAGTACCTATTATACCACATACCACCTTATCGGATAGGTAGGTAGATACCTAAGCTATAGGTAGTTATCGACTAATAGCCCTAAGAACCCTCCAAACGGGTCGCGACCAACAATCAAAGACGCCTAGGGATCCCTGTAAGGCCACTAAGGCCACTAATGCCACTAAATGTCCTCGCTGCAACTGCAACGGTATGCCTTCCAGCCAAGTTCAACCTATGTAGTTCAACCTCATCTTTAACCAATGCTCGAGCCTTCGCATTTCAAAACACCAATCATTCACAACTTTTAACATCCACTTCGCCTACTTACGCGTTACAAGTCTCTCTAGATTCAATCTAGACACTATTCCCAATACCGCCGCTTCACGTTTTTTAAGGGTAGGTTAGGTATTTAACCAATATCAAGTAACATTTCCCTGTCGCCTTCAATCTCGAAAGCCAATTCGAAGCAGCCTCGTCCTCTCCCCCTACAACTATAACCACGCCTCGATCATTCTGTGGACATTTCGCATCGCGCTCAACTACACCGTAGAGAGTCTCATGTCCCGGATGGAACTGTCACCATGAGGTCAACTCCTTTGATCATCAATTGGCACGATAAAAATGCTCCCATCTATTCCGCCCACTTCGAGTCTCAGCATGGCAAGGGAAGGCTAGCTACAGGAGGAGGAGATAATAACGTGCGTATCTGGAAAGTCGAAGGCGATGGCGAAGATCGCAAGGTCGAATACCTCTCGACTCTCGCCAAACACACCCAAGCCGTCAATGTCGTTCGGTGGGCTCCCAAAGGAGAAACCCTCGCTTCTGCTGGAGATGATGGCAATGTGATCCTATGGGTTCCTAGCGAAAACCACAACCCAACTACATTTGGGAACGAGGGCCTCGAGGACAAGGAAACGTGGCGTACCAGGCATATGTTCCGGCCTACTGGTTCGGAAATATACGATCTAGCCTGGTCTCCGGATGCTACCTACTTCATCATTGGGAGCATGGACAATGTCGCTCGAATTTACAATGCCGGTACAGGTTCGTAGTTGATGTATCCCAAGTATATCTTCTATCCCAGTTGACTTACTCGCCTATAGGTGTTCTCATACGGCAAATTGCCGAACATAGTCACTACGTGCAGGGCGTCGCATGGGATCCCCTGAATGAATACATCGCAACCCAGTCGTCAGACCGATCCGTTCACATCTATTCCCTCAAGACCAAGGATGGACAGTACGCGCTTACTAGCCACGATGAAAAACCCCCCAAGGTTGCTAGTCACGCCAAAGCAGATCTGCCCCCCAGCAGACGCATCTCATCTAACAGCCCCGCCCCATCGGATATCGGCTACCGAACTCAGCTTGCAGCCGCAGTTGACACGCCGGGCGCCTCCATGGGATCGCCAGTACTATCCGCGCCCGGAACACCGCAATCCGTTCCCTTACCAATGAATCCCCCGAGTGTAGTCAGTCATAGTAGACGCTCTTCGTTTTCATCTCGACGATCTGTATCCCCAGCACCGTCGCTGCCTCTGCCTGCGGTGATGCCCATCGAGCCATCTCCAAAACTTAATCATGGTCTCAGTGTAGGGATGAAGAACGCAAGTCTCTACGCCAGCGAAACTCTTACGTCTTTCTTTCGACGTCTGACTTTTACTCCGGATGGTAGCTTGCTTCTGACCCCTGCCGGCCAGTTCCAAATGCAGCACCAAGCAGACGGCCTTAGACCTACATATGAGGTCATCAACACTGTCTATATATATACCCGAGGCGGTATCAACAAGCCGCCTATTGCTCATCTCCCCGGCCTAAAGAAGCCTTCGGTTGCCGTGAAGTGTTCGCCCATAACCTATACGCTCAGACAATCTCCGCCAGTTACGAAACACATCACTATTGATACCTCTTCGGCAGAAGATCCCATTCCTGCTCTTCCCGAGCCTATTTCCAAACCGCTACCTGCGGTAATGGACCCCCCTCCTCCACCTCCAACGTCCTCGGCGCCAGACCCGGAGAAGTTGTCTACCCCGTCTAAGCATCTGAACTTGGAGACCGGTCCGACTACTCCTGGACCTAAACCTACATTCGCGCTGCCGTACCGTATGGTGTATGCTGTAGCAACTCAAGACTCGGTGCTTCTCTATGATACCCAGCAGACCACACCCATCTGCATTGTCAGTAATCTACATCTCGCCACGTTTACTGATCTTACCTGGTACGCTGCCCCCCGCACATCAGATCTATCGTAATACCTAACCAGCTTCTAGGTCGAACGACGGTTTAACACTACTCATTTCCTCGTCTGACGGGTTTTGTTCGACACTATCGTTTACACCTGGTGAACTAGGCCAGGAATACAAGGGTGACCTTATGGGCCCTAAGATTTCTGTTGCTCCTACTGCTACTGCTACTGCCACTAGCGCAGGCCCTATTTCAAACCAGCCTACTCCATTACCTACACCAACATCCGCCTTTGCGCCCCCATCACCCTTCCCTAACCACCAACATCGTAACTCAGCCACCTCCTTTGCAGCTCCATCCCCTCCAGCCACAACATCGTTTGTGAGCGCGCGCCCTTCATCACCTACTCGATCGAATTCCACGTCGTCAATCGCGACCCAGATTTCAGTTATGAATAACCCACCTCTTATCGGTGGAAGCATACCCAGCATCGCCGCCACAAACTCGGGCAAGGTAACAGGGATGCCCATCGCAACCCCTCCCGAAACACCTGGAAACGGTAACAACATTGTTGCTGGTGTTAAGCGAGAAGCTAGCGAGAACGAGAAGGACGAAGTATCGGGCGGTCAACCTAAGAAGCGAAGAATTGCACCAACCCCGGTAACGGAGCCCAAAACGTAGAGGGCGCCCGTGGTTTTAAGTTCGTGGGGCTATAGTAACACACTTGTATCAATAGGCTATCGTGTCGAGCGGTAGACTCGTTGGAGTTCGAGGCACTGTTGGCTGGAACGTATGAGCCATATTTCTTTTCTTTTGAGGGTTTATTTGCTGGCCAGGAAAAAGAGACGATATTTGTTCATCGCCGGTATGCCCCCTTCGTGGCGGCGAATTATCAGTTTTTGTCCTTAGTGGACCCCCCTGTACTGACGATGTCAGCGTGTGAATGAGCGTGAGTGAAAGGATTTGGCATGGCCTCCGGAGTTAGGATTAAATACCTCGGCAATGGTATCAGCTGCGAAAGCTGTTTTATACCTGTTGGTTTAATTTTTCCTCTATCGATTGTTGGTCGTGATACGTTGTCTGGGTAGTCAATTATGACGGCTCCTGTGAAGGGTTACGTTCACCCCGTAGGTAGAATAGTTATGTTTGCAGATAGGCCTATGATTTTGCCACCTGTAGTCAAGTATACCTGATCTGAAACTTGCTTCAAAACTAATAACACAAAATGTCCTTTATATACTATACTCTATGAATCATGATTCTGCCATAATTTACTACTAGTTTCAGTTGTTGAAGAGGGACCTATCGAACCCATGCGGAAATGGAAATATGTGTCGGCAACTTGAAAGCCAGGAGTTAAATTGGACAGAAGAATCTATCTAGTAAGATCATATCAAAGAATGAAGATAATTACTAGGAGATGCAACTTGTTTGTTTCAATGTCGAACATGAAGTAAGAAACATGGCCACGCTGTCAGACAATATGAGAGACAAATCATCTCTCTCATTTACGCTACAATCTATAAAAACAGGGAGCTTCGGAATCAAATCGCACTTCAAGATGGGATTAAGTGTCGTCACTATCGAAATAAAAGAATAGGTACATACTGGGCAGAACCCAGATATTTGCCCATATGTTTAGAAACGGGATAGACGATACTTCAGCATATGGCACGGACGTCTCTCATCGCACGAGAGAGCAGAGAATTGCATCTATGGATTCGAATCTCGGTTCGGATATTCCTTCCACGAGAGGCAAGAAATACCTTATGCGATGTGTTTTGTTTACAAAGCGAGGCGGGCTATTACGACATCTCACGCGATACGAGCAGACACAAGTCGATGTCAACGAGTTCGATGGGAAATTCAGAACGGCTGTTAAGTGTGTCTTGGACAGCCCTGAAGTTGTAGCAGTTCTGGATCAGAAAGAGCCTGATTTTGGGCTGGCGCTGAGGTTTGCGCTTCAGCATATAGTGCCGGTGGTTATAGGCCCGAATGCTAAAGTAATCCATGAGGCCGAGGAGCTTTCGCTCAAGGCGAGGGTGTTGTCGAAGGGTATTTTTGATGGGCAGACGGAGCTGCGGAACCTACTGGATGCCCATTGGATTGCCGTTTCCCGCCGATGGAACAAGTATCAGCTCCCCGGCCGCGAGAGGGTGTTGCGAAGTGCGTGGCCAAACATGATTCCCGCCCGTCTGTCGAAAGACCCGGTATCTGGCAGCGTCCTGGTCACGGAATCAGATATTCTGAGAGAGGCGTATATGTGGCCGTATATCAATTTGGAGGACCTCGTCTCGGGCGATCGACTGCTCCTTTTCATGGAATCAAGAAGTCGCAAGCATCCAAGCGTCTTTGTTCACAGCGACTTGCTGGATTCAAAGTCTGCAGTGGAGAGAGGTGTCGTCGATATAAACTATCTCGATAATAACCTCATGCGACTTGACGCCGGGGGGGATGGTAAGAATACACGAAGCGAATACGGCAGGTTGGAGACGTTTTCTCGAGCGTCGAGAGCGGAGATGGAAACACTGCTTCTAAGCGGCGCGGGTTTCCTGCCAGGCGAAGGGATGCTAATCCTCGAAATCCAAGAGCGCATCATGAGATTCCTCTTGGATTGCTGCCGTGGCATTCTGTACGACACCACAGAGGTGAAGCGTCTACACGAAACTCCTCTCGCGACCCTGGCGGCAGAAGTATCTTATAGAAACCCCTCAGAAACCGATCTCCATCAACTGCAGCAGCTCGTCTCAGCCCACCACTTCGACGCAGAGGAGAGCTTTTGGGCGTTGCGTGAGGACCCGGATTTCTTCGCCGACGCCATCTTGGACATTACTAGACATCTGCGTGACGAGGAACCGCAGGAACGAGACTTGGTTATGTCTCGACACGTGTTCGCGGTCCGCAAGACTTTGAGGGATACCTATGGCGACATAGTCATCTGGCGAGAGCTCGAGCTCCGCATTGCAGAGTTGGCCAAAGAATCGAAGAACTCTTTTGAGAAGTTAACATCTCAGGGGCTGCTTAGCCCGTGCGAGGCAGCACTCTTCCGTCTAAAGGATTTCTTGATGTACACCATCCAGTACTTTGCATCTCAGCTAGAAGCGTTTGCGATCGAGATCGAGACTCAGGAAGGATTTACGGTGTCATATGCTCTTCATGACTGCATAGCTGACTCGCGTAACGACGTCAACTTAAGCATATCTCTGGTTGGCGATGTCGAAACAATATTAACGAAGGATGCTTATCTCCGGTCCTATATATTACCGGCAGTCACCAAGACTCTCGAGAAGCTTTTTGTAGCTTGTGAATCGCTCCGGCAATTAAGACTTTATCAGCCGTATATCCCGGGGCTCTGGAGAAACGACGGCGAATGTAACACCCAGTTGCCAGTTCTCGATACTATCTTCAAAGCGTCCGAGGTAGACAAGTGTATATTTGATTTGGTCTATCCCTTACAACCCACATTCGCATTTCCTGTCTACGAGCGTCAGACCTGTGATACGACAGAGGTCCATCCAGCGGCTCATGATAACCTAAAACGATTCTGGGACCAAGCAGACGCATTCTTCGAAGATGTTGGAAGGCAGAGGCCCTACGAGCTCTTAAAGGACTATGTCGCACATAGACAAATCCGAAATGAAAGTCTCTCCGATACCACAGTGCTCGAGGGACCACAGACACTACCACAAGCATCATCTACTACGTTAAATCTAGATATCTTTACAGTATCCCTTAACTCCCCATCGACTTCACCACCAAGCACTATATCAACAAGCCCCTCCGTACAGCAGCAGCAGCAGCAGCCCCTACACGCACCTAAGCAACTCATAAAGCTCCAACGCCAGAACATAGACGTGATCAGAGCACTATTCCTCGGAAACGCGCGAACAGAAATTAAGTGGGTCAGCTTTCTAGGAGCCATGGAAAAGATAGGGTTTGGGATACAACCCGTGAAAGGTTCATCGTATCAATTTACATATCCGATCAACCACGGCAAATCCATTCTAATCCATAAGCCCCACCCGCGTCAAGTGATCAGCAAGGCCTTGGCGCGGAATATAGGAAATAAACTAACGCGTGCCTATGGGTTGACGGCGGACCGATTCGAGGGGGTATAGAAGCTAGGGGAAAATGAGCTTGTAAGTCGTTGCTTGATTTAGTGCGTACGGTTCGGTAATATCAACGTGGAAGAATTTTCGGAAACTTTTGTTTTCATATGAGAGAAAAAACTTGACGTCGAGGACTGGCTTTAGATATATGTATATTTATATCAAGCATTATTAATGTCAGGTGTATTCAACTACATAGATAATCTTACTGTAAAGTGTAAGCACTATTAGTACATAGTGTATACCTGGACTATTTGAAGACATCACTTACAAACCATTAATCTGACGCCTTGGAGGCTTAGCTAGGGAGTCCTATGTATGTAAGGGTTTAGTCTGATAAAGACCAGTCCCAGACCAAATTCAGACTTAAGCTAATAGGTTCCGAGAATAGAAATAAAAATATACATAATGAGCAGAGAAGCTATGTATCCCTAGTGATTCCATATGGAGTGGGGATTGTTAAAGTTTCGGGCTTATACTCGACTCGCCATTGGATTTTTCGTATTTGACGTATTTCAGGGCCTTACCGAGAATGGCTAAGCTCTGGATAGTCTGGTAACTCCCACCCACCCTTCTCCTCTCCTGAGAACCTCGTGATGAGTTCAGGAATACGAAAAAAGCAGAGTAGTCCCACAATAAAATGAATCATCATAACGCCCCACCATGAATCAGGCATGCCTAACCGGACGAGGGCCGGCTTGATATTCTGGATCTCGCTGGCGAAGGGCCGGAGCTTCTGGTCGTAGTTCGCAAAAGCTTGGGGGAGATCATCGGGGCTGCGATCGATTTCTCCAGCTAGGATGTAGGCGCCGACGAGAGCACCTGTAGTCCCCATACCGCTGAAAGGAGACGCACAGTGTGCCGCGTCGCCTAGAAGAACAACTCGGCCTTTGGACCATGTGTTCGTGCAAACCTGGACGACTTCCTGGCAGTAGAAGTTCTCGGTTGTCTTCATCCCTTCGAGAAATCGGTCCGTTTGCCATCCCGCATCACAAAACCTTTGCGTCCAAAATTCCTTTTGTTTTTCTACAGAGGCTCTTGGAAGACTCGATAGTTCTGGCGAGTCGTCCTTTAGAAAGAAATAGACTTGAGTATCTGTGGAGTTGTGAGTCCGGCGGAATATCATACGGCCACCAGGAGCTAGGTACGTCCTGCGGATATTAGTATCTCCTTCTGCGCGAGGTATAAACCAATACGCGATGTGTATGCCAAGTCGTCGGTAAGGTTCCGGGGTGTCAGGCGGTAAGATGGCTTTTCGAATACGCGACCCCTGGCCGTCTGCCCCGACTAGGAGGTCGAAGGTGTCAGATGATCCATCAGAGAAATGAGCAATGACCTGTTTTTCGTCTTGCTCGAAGCTTTCTACAGTCTTGCCGAAGATGTACTTTACGTTGTCCTTTGTTGTATTGTAGAGTAAGCGTACGACATCTCCGCGCATCAGCTCATATTCGGACGTCAGAGACTGCGCACCTTTGCCGGACGTATTGGCCACTATGATGCTGTTAGCTGATGCTGTTAGCTGATGCTGTTAGCTGATGCTGTTAGTTGATGCTGTTAGTTAAGGACTAGTGTTCGGATCGTCTCGGGAGGTACAACTCTCCGTTTAGCTCGACGGGTACGTGCCGGCTTCCGAGATCACCGCTCCCTGGAGTTACATAGCTAAAAAGGAGGGGGGAAAGAAGCTCTCGAATTTACATACTAATTGTCCCTTTCACCCTCCCCTGTGAGTCTACAAAGGATACACCGGCTTCATCAACACGTATATTGCGTATTGCTTCTAGAAGCCCCATGCGCTTCGCCACCTCGATGCCCTGAGCGCGGAGATCAATCTGAGCCCCTGTCGCCCTAAGAGCCGGGAAGCGCTCGACGACTTCCACGTGGTGACCTCTACGGCTAAGCCAGAATGCAAGAGCTGGCCCCGCAATGCCACCGCCGCAGACGAGAATTTTTAGAGGGGCCATGTTTATAGGGTGTTACTGACTCGCGCGTATACTGGCTGACTGGTTGCGAATAGCAGAGAATGATAGGTATTAAGAATTTTTGACGATTTCCTCTAGGTTAACGATTTCCTACAGAGACTTTATGGGATTTATAAAGTGAATTAACGGTCCTATCAAACTTAGCATTTGGCATTTCCAATGATGCCATAATCACCGATGTTGAGTCACAGTTCAACTCGACTCAATCCTCAAAATCCGTAAAATCGGGATTAGAATCCGATAAGCCCGACCGAATCCGATTTCTTGCTGCCGGGTCAGATGTGGTCTGTGCGTGAATAGTCTCCTGAAACGTACTTCGTACATACACGTAAGCCGTACGGATTATTATATAATATAATATTCGACTTATTGGATTCGGAAGGTGTAATACATAGAAATATACTTCGTACATGGTCTGATTTTGAAACGACACATGGCACCAGCACCAGCACCAGCAAGTATGTACGAAGTGTACCGTGCTCTTCCCCGGATAGTTCGGACGATAACAAAAGCTCTCACAGGCTAAGTCGTCATTGCTCAGTTGGTCCAGCCACCCGGTGCGGCGATCGACAGCCCTAGACGGCACTAACGACGGTACTTATGCAAGGTACCACTATACTTCCGCATTAGTGTCTCAGACGTTGTAGATCCTAAGTATCCAAGCCTTTAACGCAAGTAGATAGCTTTACAACTTTGCAGCTTTTTGCTAGGTGGCATATACATAGAGGTACATGACAGCCTACATCAATAATCCAAGACTTTTTCTACCTATGTATTTTTATTCGATGGAATTTCCCAGCTTTCCCAACAATCATCCGATTTGTTCACAATGCTTACGTCTCCCTACCTTGTAGTGTAGGTATGTACACAAGATAGGTACCTACGATAAATCAATCCATTCATCTTTAGCATAGCCTCAAGAATGAGGCCACCCGGTTGGAATGCAGCTTGTGGTAATGATAAAAGATTGGCTCTAATGGCTCTAATGGCTTTAATGGCTCTAATGGCTTTGATGGCTTTGATACATAGGTAGCTCTAAGCAAGCGGTTAGCACGGCTCGCGGCTGACGAAGGCTTGGAAACTTTTCCCAATGTGGTAATACCTTGATGCTTTTTTCGTCCCTCTTCCCTTTTTATTTATGTATTCATGCTTCCGGGGGGGCGACGCAAGTCCTTGGAATCTCCATCCGCTTTTCTGAATTTCACATTAGTCGTGCTACTCCTACCGATCCGTACTCTGTTAGGAGTAGATAGGTGATGTATAATTAGACCGCAACGTGCCACCGCGGTACCAACTGACTACCACTTCATCTTTCCATACCGTTGTTCTTTTTTCCTTCTTCTTCTTCTTTTCCCCCGCGTGCTCTTCGATTGATCTACATTTCCGGGGTTCGTTACAGAAGACTATGCGTACCCTTCCTTTACCCCTGCTCTCGCTTATTTCGGCGGCCCTCGGATCGCCAACCGGGAGTAATGATGGCTCTCAATTTTCGGCCGTCGAGGTTCGTGATGTTTTAATGGGTCGGGCAAGTCCGGACAACCCGTCCGGTAGTTATGCACCGGCTATCGTCGATTGCCCGAGCGAACGGCCAACGATCCGCAGCGCCGGAACTCTATCTCAGTCGGAGCAGAGTTGGTTACGGAACCGCCGAAACAAGACCATCGAACCCATGCTGGAATTCTTTAAGCAGGCAAACCTATCCGATTTTGACGCCGTCAACTACGTTAGTTCTAACTCGCAGAATTTCTCTATCGTACCTAATATCGGTATCGCCGTCTCGGGTGGTGGTTATCGTGCGCTTATGAATGGTGCCGGCTTTATCGCTGCAGCTGACAGCCGCACACCGGGTTCGACTGACGCCGGTGGTATTGGTGGTCTTCTGCAGAGTAGCACCTATCTAGCAGGACTTTCAGGTGGTGGATGGTTGGTCGGCTCCATCTTTGCCAATAACTTTTCTAGTGTCGTCCAGCTTCGTGACGGCTACCAGGGTTCCTCTCTATGGCAATTCTCTAACTCTATCTTCTCGGGGCCTAAGGAGAGGGGAATATCGATCGTTAACACCGTCTCATACTGGGATGATGTTAAAAACCAGGTTGATGATAAGAGGGATGCGGGATATGATGTTTCTATCACGGACTACTGGGGACGGGCTCTCTCTTACCAGCTGATAAACGCACCGAACGGTGGACCGGCCTACACGTTTTCGTCCATCGCCGATACTCCTAATTTCTCCTCAGCCGACACGCCCATGCCGATCCTGGTGAGCGATGAGCGTAGACCGGGCACGACCGTAGTTTCTTTAAACTCGACGGTTCTTGAGTTCAACCCGTGGGAGATTGGGTCGCATGATCCGACCATCTTTGGCTTCGCTCCTACTCGTTATGTCGGATCTAACTTTAGCGGTGGCATCGTACCTAACAACGGCCACTGCGTCCGCGGATTCGATGCGTATAGTTATCTCATGGGAACAAGTAGCTCGCTTTTCAACGCGTTTTTACTACAAAATATTTCATCCTCGGGTCTGCCCGAAATCGTGACCAGTGCGCTCGAGTCCATTTTGACCCGGATCGGCGAAGACAATGACGATATTGCCGCTTGGACACCGAACCCCTTTTATGGCTACAACAATGATACGAACGATAACGCCGGCGATGAGCAGCTGACTCTTGTCGACGGTGGCCTAGACTTGCAGAATATTCCACTGCACCCGCTAATCCAGCCGATGCGCAATGTCGATATAATCTTTGCGGTTGACTCGTCCGCCGATACCACGACTTTCTTCCCGAACGGCACCGCCCTGCGTGCTACCTACGAACGCAGTAAGACGGATATCGCTAACGGAACCGCTTTCCCAGCCGTTCCGGATGCCGAGACGTTCATCAACCTGGGTTTGAATCAGAAGCCGACCTTCTTTGGCTGCAACACAACCGAGTTCGCCGACGCCGATCATATACCGCCTCTAGTCGTGTATGTGGCTAACGCGCCTTACACGGCTTATAGCAACGTGTCTACGTTCAATCCATCATACACAGATGAAGAGCGTAACTCCTTCATTAAGAACGGCTACAATGTGGCCACGATGGGCAACGGCACCGTCGACACTGAGTGGCCTGCGTGTGTGGCCTGCGCCGTTCTGCGCCGCAGTCTCGAGCGCACCAGCACTCAGATCAGCGCTACCTGCCAGCGCTGCTTCGACCGCTACTGCTGGAACGGTACGACGGACAGCACGCCCGTCAACAGCTACGAGCCTTCACCGATACTGGCATTAGACGCCCAAAGTTTTGGGGTCAGCGTGAAGGGCGGGGCGGCAACAGGGATGGTGTACGGTGTCTTTGGGCTTGTGGCCATTCTTCTTGCATTCTAAGGGTTATGAACGAGTTAGATGCGGAATCTTCTTCTAAGCTTCTATCACGTTGTAGACGGGCGGGACATTCCACGATTTGGTTATAATCAAGCATATTAGTGCAGCTAGAAAGGCGGTTGAATTGTGTGTATAGATGTGGATACCATCGTTCAGCATGCTTGTTTTTTTTATATTTTCTTTTTGAATATTTTCGAATATCGAAACTTTCATCTCGTCTCTTGTGCTAAAATTCATTGCCTAAATGGAATTAGTCCCTCCTTACCGTCTCTTTGCTATTTGAACGTAAAACTTCTTGACTGCAGCTAACAAAGGGTCCTAGGACGCATCAAATCAAAACTACCTACGCTGCCAACCAGACGTAGCCCCTATTGCCAATCAATGGAGCCACTATCAATTATACAGCCCTATAGGCAGACCTCGCTCCGCCAGCACTAATTCGGCACGATAGCTAAACCCTCGCGCTGGAACCCAATGTAGCGGCGCTAGGGGACTCACGCAGAGCCAACAAACAGCTCGGCTTATATGGTCCCACGGCTCCCGGTTCGCTATCATCGACAGGCATAGGCCACGGCATCAGTTCCAATATGGCGGAGGCATTGGTTCGGCGATATTACGACAGCGGGAACAGCGTAGCGAGAGCCCCCCCGCCCTCCCCCCTCTGCCCGGAGTAGAGAGAGAGAAAGCAACACTGAAGGCAGACCAGACACCCTGCCCCCCGTAGGGTGGACGGCGGAGACGAGGCCAATAAGCTCTTGACACCAGACCTAGATGGAGAGGACAGAATGTCTCCCGTATGTACGCGTGCGTGCGTATATATGTATGTCTAGGTTGTCAGGCAAATGTCCATCCACGTAACGCGAGTGGGGGGAGGGGGGAAGGAAGGTAGAGCTACAGCTTTTCTAGTAACACACGCACACATACGTACACAGGCTGGTCGCTTAGTTTCCCGACATGTTTCGAGCCTAGCACGATGGAGCATCACGATACATCACGTCGTATGGGAGGCGAGTAGGGCGGGCAGGTAGGCGAGTGGTCGAGGTAGGTAAGGCAGCAACAGCCTTGGCTGACCCGCGCGGGCGTAAGCAACGCATTGAGAGCCCAAGGGGGGGACGATACGCCACGGGCATCGGCACAGGGCATCTGGTTAGCTGAGCTTTTCTCCTCTCCCACTCTCAGCGCTTCGGTAGAAGAGATGAAGAGAGAGGGAGGCACGTACGGCTCTGGCAGGCTCCCGGTCAGCGTCCCATAATAGCAGACAGTGATCAGCGTCGCATCGGGGAGCCGCTCGTCGTAATTGGTCGGCCGACGGGTATACGGTCCATATAATCATTATGCTTAGACGATTTCGTTACACACGTTGTTCTATCGAGGGTTACCTTGGGTTAGTCAACAGGGGGAGTCTATCCCGTACGAACGGCGGCTCGGCGTAGATTTCGACGAACCAGCACCGTCTCCATAGACCCCATAGTCTCCCTTGATCGGCGTAAAGATGCCTCGGTGGACACCTACATGTTAGGGTCGCCGGTGTTTCATACAGAGCAGAGCTATGTTACACTAGGGGGACTAAGCATGACTCAAAATGCTCGCTTTCTGGCGTCCATCCATGGGGAACCCTTGTAATAACGTGACGCCTACTTGTTAAGCCTCAGACAAACGCCAGCAGCATTGGGTAGGACTGGAGCTGACAGCGCTGGTTTACTGGTACGACACTCCCCAAGCCATCGACGCCGTGTACCTAAGCCTTTCAGGAATAACGATAGATAGACATCTGACTCTAGTCGACGTGGTTGACACGGATATAGGGGCCACGCAGGAGGCTTACCTGTGCATCTTTAATATATTGACTGTAACTTCTGCTGGCTTACACGGTGCTGACAAAGACTATAATTGCAAGACACAAGAACTATCCAGTATAATACTGATAATCCACCAGAGAAGATAACTAGTCGCTCATAGCATATTCAAGAAAATCGCGCTTATAGAAATTCGGAAATATATACAGTAAATGTGGTAGAAAAGCTATCTGATCCGGAGTAGGAACCGCTGCGGAAAGGTCCGGAAAGGGGAAGCTGAATACCAGATCGTTTGGGGTTTGTTGTTATTTCTCGAATTCGTTGTCCTCGTCACGTCTTCATTGGCGCAGCAGGTGACTACCTATCAAACATGCGAGGCCGTTTCTAGCCAATGGCGTGGTGACAGATGATTCGAGTGCCCAACGTACACGAATAGCTAAGCTGCTAATTTTCCTACTATGGGGAGCTGCACTCCAGACGATCCAGACAATCCAAACAACGACCCTAGGTTTTAAATACTGCGGCATGCTAGGAGCGAGGGTCGATATGTTGAGCTCGGTTAATGGCGATCGGATTTGATTCCGATAGACTGGTCTCATAGTTAATCCAAACGTCTAATTTGTAGAGCGATTTGGGGCGGGAGCCGCTTCGCCAGGAAACTCTCAGCGAGGTCCATCCTGGACCAGACATTTGAGGCAATTCTATCGGACGGCGTCCATTGCGGGGGAACCTTGAATACTTATGACGAACCCAGGAACATCCGTTAATCCTTTTAAATTAGCCCCCAAGCACCTGGTATTATCATTTTACTGCATGTACCGGCGGGGGGGTGCTATATACTAATCCAGCCACGAGCAGCATCGGCTCCTAGAGCGGCCCTCAGTTCCCCATGCGGGAGTCTTGATTGGCATTGTCACCGGGAGGAATGGGTAATATTTTTTTTTACCCCCTCGTAGTCCCCGGTACTAGTGCGGAGGTAAGTCTTGCCAAGAGTTCCAACATACCTAGCTTGCGGTCCCCACGAAGGACGTGATTGCGAAGGCTTTTACCCTATCAGATTGCGTCTAGTCCAGCTCGGGGGTTCGGTGAGGGATGCCGAAAGGGCCCCCTCCGTCCAGTCACCTTCTACCGACCTTCCAGAAGCGGCGGGACATAGTATATGAAGTAGTAACGTACCAAGAAGACGACGTAGACATGCAGAAACTGTGACCGAAGGAGGTACCAGAGCTGAGGATGCGCGATAGGCTTCTGCTGCACTTCAAGTTGTGCAGATCGAAGGCGCCGAGCTCTACCTTCGGCAATGTCTACCAGACGGTAAAGGAGGGGAACACGACGGAAAGGGGGGGGATTGGACCGTGTCTGACCGAAAAGGGACCAGCAGCCCAGCCACCGAGGAGGGTGCGGGAAAGGTGAGGAGGAACACCTACCCCTAGACGCGGATCGGTATGAGGGTGACACAAAATCTTCCTTCAGCCGTAACCCGGAGAGATTGAACAGACATGGATAAGTAGTCAAAAACGAAATGGAGATTGGTCACGGGGATTCGGGTCAATCGTAGATCGGAAATCGACTATCAGATGACAAACAATTGCATGAAGCTCATATCGGCTGAACAAATCAGTCAACCCGGGGGGGACAGAATGCATGGGCTGATCCATGGCATCGCGTCGTAGACCGAGTGAAGGATGCATATTCGCCTGTGACGGATTTGCATTTCGCAGCATCGGATGAGGGCGGCAGACGGCCACAAACAAAAGCAGAAAATAACGGGACAAGGGCTAACCCGCGCGCGAAGGACGTGGACGTAGCAGCAGGTGGAGGAAATGTCCGGGACAAAAGGGAAAAAAAAACCTGGTAAATAAGGTAGGCAAGGTATCTAATTGTTTTTTTCTTCTCCTTTTCTCATCCTTCGCATGCATTGGCAATGTCGGTAGGTAGCAGGTAATGTGTGGCCTCACAGCGCAGACGTGTCTGATCTTGTGTCGCCTCGCATTGCCTCGCCTCTTGACCGAAAGAGCCTACGGTCGACGGGCTAGGGGGGTGCGTGTGGGCACTCGGAGTGTCACGTCTCTCTGGGCTGTATGTCTGCGACGTCTGCGCTGGCGCTGTCGCTGATTGGCGGGTGGAGAGATTCATTGGCGGGCAACTCGAAAAATGGATAGGGAATGGACTACCACGTGTTTACCTGAGATCCGCCGTAGCCACGGCCAAAATCAGATTGAAACGATACATGAGAGCAACCTCAAGTCTCGCTGTGTTGCAGTTGGGCGCTCCCCCATGTGCTTTTTTCTTTTTATTATCGGCCGATATAGATTATCGGTTGGTAATTAGGTCTTTAGACCATACATAATGGTAATAAAAACAAGTTGACCTTGGTAAGCTGTAATTTCGGGGAATGATACGTAACGGCCCTTTTTTTTGTAAGTTTTGATAAGGGCGAAGATTAAAAGAGAAGGGAAAGAAAAAAGAGAGAGAAAGTGAAGACGACGATCTAAGACGAGATGGACTTAGAGGGACTTGGAAAAAAAAGACTAAAGCTTAGCAAACAGAAGTAAGGTAGTCGCATGGTCCGCATACATGAAGTACATGCCTATGTAGATGCTGACCGGCCCCGCCCGCCATCTTGGGAGTACCATGCAGAATCGTCGAGGTGAGGTACTCCTTCTAGGATCTAAAGTGGTATAGATACTTGAATGTGATGTATCAGGTAGGTGAGAAAGATGGAAAGAACTCCGCCCCGCACTATTCAAATCTTTACATAGTACAAGTACCTAACAGGAACCGCAACTCGAGCTCTTATTGGAGCCTTGTATTACAGTGCCTCGGAAGCCGCACACGATCCTCGTCGTTTCTATGTTTCTATGTTTCTATAGAGGTCTTTCTTTCCAAGGTTGTGTTTTGTCTCTCTTGGAAGTTGCAGTTGGTTGGGCGGGCTACTACGGGCTGCTAAGGGCTACATACTATTACTACTCCCTTCTATTATATACATGTAGTATCTTTTTTTTTTGTATCAGACCTACCTAATACCTCAATTATACCATGGGTACATTTTGACCAGTCGCATAATTGCCCTTGTCGCATGTAATCGCCCTACCTATCAACCATACAACCGTATCGTTCCCATCTCATACGTCCACTGCCCATACACCATACACACCATACGCCATACACCATATACACACCATATACCTACCACATACCTTACCTACATCTCTAGTGGACCAGACCGGCCTACGCTTTGCGTCTAGAAGCTAGATCTACGGTACCAGCTGTACTCGTTCCCGGTCTGCTAACCACAGGTCTATTAACGGTCTACTAACGGTCTATTAACTCTATACATATTCGTACATATCTTTGCATATTTCTTTCCTCACTTCGCGGCAATTTTGCTATCACCCTCGTTTAATATTCTTCACTCTCGGTGCTAGCATCCCTCGAATTCTTCAAACTTCCCATCTCGCGCTCCCCCGAGCCGTCTTCGTCACCCTTCATTATGAGGTAGCCGTGCTATCGCTGTGTGAGCGCCCAGAACGACATGCATCCTGCACCCAGTCTGTCGGAGTCATTTCCTAAAGACAGCAAGAGTGAGGATAGAGGTCAACACGTCTCTCATCAGCACGAGCAGCAGCAGCAGCAGCAGCAGCAGCAACCACAGCCCGGCGGGCATCATCATCAGACTGCCCAGCAACAACTTCAACCACACCAGGGAGCACACCCGGAGCACGTGCGACATGGAAGCCTTCCGGCATCACCAGGCCAGTCGGCGACGCCCATGAGGAAGGACACGTCTTCATCCACGTCGACAACTACTACCGATACGACGACAATATCCAATGTCTCCAATGACACTAACTCGACGGCCTATAGCGTAGAGTCGTCACAGTCCATCTTCTCAGTCAAGGATGGATCAGAGATCTCGCACAATCGTCGTGCTAGTCGTAGGAGGACCGGACCTTTATCTGCCCAGCAGAGGGAGAAAGCCGCACTGATTCGGAAGCTGGGCGCGTGCGCCGACTGCAGAAGGCGGAGGGTTGCTGTAAGTCACACATCATGATCTACCTACCTTAATTTTTGTTAGCAATATGACGCTCACATGGTTATCCTCACAAGTGTCACCCCAACCATCATAATATGACGTGGGAAGATGCTATGCGGAAATATCGCTCGTCCAGCCCTTTGCAGGAGCTCGCGCCCCTGCCTGGTCGCCGGATCAGCCCCGCGCCAAACCATGCAGCCCGTGTTAGACATCACTTCCCTCAAGATCCTCAAGATATGGAAATTGACTCCACCCCCGCTACTCCTAATAACGCCCATAATACGCCAGGGCGGCCACCGCTCAGCGACGCTAGGATCCGGACGCCTCTTCCGTCAGGTCCACGGCTGGAGAAGCCCATCTCCACGTCTCCCCTGGCTGCTGCACCAAACCATTTCGTACCCCTGCCAAGTATCGACTCGATCAAGGTAGATCTGGAGAATGCCGCGTCGAGGATTCTTTCCTCGCCTTACCGCAGTCGCTATAGCAGCGTCTGCGCGCTTCTGATCTACTGGCAGGATGACGAGCACCCCGGCGTGGCGGCTGCGGTGGAAGAACTGGCCGGGGTCTTTGATAAGTACTATCATTTTGCGTACGAGGTGCTCAAGATTCCGTCGTCTGCGTCGGACGGCTGCACCAACTCGTGGAGGTGGCTCTCGCGGATAATCAACGATTTTACGGATAAAAGCGACACCAGGGACGTTCTAAAAATCGTATACTACAACGGGTATAGTTACTTGGACGAGCATAGGGAGATGGTTCTGGCAAGGTGAGCTATCAAAACGTCAAAATTGGTTTTCCGACGATCTAACCCTAGATAGTTCTCGGGACCGTGCGAAGGCTTCGACTATTCGATGGAGCGGTATACAACAGATATTAGAGGAAGCGCGCTCGGACACTCTCATTGTAATGGATTCTGCATACTTTCCGTCTTCAAAGATGGTCCGGCAGAAGGGGGTGTTGGAGCTCATTGCGGCCTCGTCCTCGGAAGACTACTTTGACGTGTTGGACCGAAACGGGTTTACGAGAACGCTAGCTGACCAACTCCGAACACGGGCCACCCAACGATTTCCGAATCCCCTGTCAGCCGCCGAGCTGCATTCGAAACTCCTATCCGTCTACCCTAAGATCATCCAAGACAAGCACCCGGAGAAGGGGGTGATACTAAGCTTCCCTTCGCCGCTGCACATACAAATCTCGGGTAACTCGAGGTTACCTTCGATTACGTTATCTCCACCGCAACCACCTCGGGTGCTGTACCCCGAGAATCCCCACGGCCCTCAGTTGACATTTTCGATGCGGTTGACCGAGGAGATGGTCAACCTTGAGAGCTGGGCCGAATGGCTTCGTATGATGCCGGATGGAATCAGAGACGTCAAAGTCGAAGGTCCATACACAACTACGTTTAGGTGACGTTTCGTCTCCGATCTGATACGTTTTTCTTGCTCTCCTTTGTTTAACGCGCCAATCTGCCACGAGACCATGATAACCAACACCTTTGGAAGGAAGCGAATGAGCAAGATGTATTGCTCGTCACGCTTTAGGCGACTCTTAGTCACCTACCATCATGTTGCTGCTACGAAGCGTCTCTCTTGATTTTTTATGTTTAACGAAAGATGATTAGCGACCAGAGGCATGGAGGGCGAGTTTTCTTTTTCTTGCATACAGTTCATCATACCCACTCCTCTTTATGTCTTGTTTTTACCTATGGCGTATAGGGGAAGAGGCCGTAGCTGCGGGTGCGCCTTATAATCTGGATGAATTTTGGCTTTTTGGCATGCCATAGCATATCGAAATATGACGAGCGATAGTTTGTTGACCTGAAATGCTTCTGGCAGAGGATGGCCAAAGGTAACACCAATAAACAGACTCTCCAATGAGGTTGCCTGTCCTAGATTGAGGTCGAAGTGCCCGCAGCTGTTCGGTGTCGTAGCGTAGGTTCCGGTGAAGATACCCGATAAATAGACATAGATATAGTAGCAAATGCTGCTTATAATTTTGAACTATGTACTGTCAGCAGTACTATGGATTGATCATATTGCTTGTCCCCTTTTTTGGGAGCTGGACCCTTAGATGCACTGTACAACTAAAAGCTATTCCTGGTGATTTATAAACGAAGAGTACATCTAATAGAATTGAATATCCTAGCGTCTTACAGAGTCGTAAATAAAGTAGAATCGTGGTGCAGCCTATTAATAAAATTAGCAACTCGGTAACTCAAGCAGATCCGGTACAATACAGGCTCAAGCGAAGAAACCAGTAACCTAGTGATATTAAGGCAGCAGATTTATAATAAAAGGAGAAGAGTATACTCGTAATTATACACATCTCTCCACATCCTAGATCTTGTCTTATTCACTGTCCCAACCGCTTTCCGTACCAGTGCATTTTTGAATATCCCATCGCACATTCGCATATACTAGTAATGACCTCTCCCTAACGCCACGAGTTGCATGCTTCAAACACATAATATACCTCGACCTCGGTATATCGGATAGGTACCTATGCAAGTATATACCAACCAACCAACCAATTATACACAGCTTTTTCTCCTTCCATCCACACCCTTAGCCAGGTTTCCCCCCCCCTCCCCCATTCACTCCGCCGGAGCAACAACTTCAACTCCAGCACCCTCGGCCACATACCGCGCACCAGCAAGTACCAACTCGCGGAAGACCCCAAGTTCAGCCTCGTCGCGCGGCGCATACACCAGGACATAACCCCACGGCGCCAGCGCGCGCGACCCCCAGACACCCGCCAGTCGATGGCGCTCGGCCCACCCGGCCTCGATCGCAGTCTTGGCGTCCGTCGGGCTGAGCGTTACGTGGGTACTTCCCTCGCCATGCACGTGGGCGAACTCTCCGGCTGCGCCCCTGCCCAGTCGCGTGCGCAGCTCCCGGAGGGTCTTCTGCTTCTCGGCGTCGTCGGGCGACGCCGAGGGAAGCCGTAGCCACAAGGCCTGGTGCAGCGGGCCCTCGAGCTTGCTGGCCCGGACCTCGAAGAGCGAGGCGTTGGCGGCTGCCAGGGCGTCGAGGAACGCCTTCTCGGCGGCGACGGTGGCAGCGGGCGCGACGTCCGAGGTCTGCCGCTGGGGCGCGACGAACGTCGGGATGGTAGGACGGTCGCCGGTGCGCTTTGGGATCGCGCCGTTCCTAAGGTACGACTTGGCCCCCGCGGGGCCGTAGAGGGCGGCGACGTCTTCTAGCCGCTTGTACGGCCGGGGCAGGGGCTCCCGGGTGTCGGAGCGGGCGATCACGTGCATGCTGGTTTGCAGGAGCCAGCCGAGGAAGTGGTAGGGTACGCCGCCGGGGCCGAGGGCGAGCCATTGCCGGTAGCAGGACCATGCGTAGGCGAGGAGCGGGGCGGCGGCGGCGGTTATGCCGGTGGCGAGAAGGATGGGTTTTTGGTGGGCTCGGAGGACGTCCGGGTTGATGAGAGCTGCGTATTTCTTTTGGAGGAGGCTCATTGTGGCAGTAGCGTGTGTAAGTGTTCCGGGTGTGGGTGGATGCGTGGGTGAGAGTGGAGTTTGTATGGGGGAGTATGGGGGATTATAATCGTGAATACGACGACTCGGTTCGGACGCAACCGGCTCGGCGAAGAAGAAGTATATCCGGGGCCGATTAGAATATCCTGGATGTATGTATTGGTGAGAAAGGCGCTTATAATTAGCTGTAAATACATAGGACCAGGAAACAAATCAAGAAACGGTGATATTATCGGTTACTATATTTATTATTTATTTACGCGCTCGTGCGTGCGTATCGCAACCGAGGCAGTGCAGCCACTCGCGGCGACCAGCGGACGGCTAAGGATCCGTGAGTGGTGTGATGTCAGGCGAGAAGGAGAATTCTATGTATGTAAGAGTGTTGGTGATGACCCCGCCAATAACCAACAACCAATAACCAAGCTGACTCTTTGTCAGGATATCGAATTGCTAATGACGGCCTCGCCTCTATGTACATAATAGACGAGAACGAGTCCGATTCAAATCAGGAGGGGACAAGAGACCGAACTGCCGAGCGCGAGTGATATGTATTTGGGGTTTAATTAATTATTAATTATTAGGGACCTACACTTAGGTGTAAGTAACTTACATGAACTTCCTAGGTTAGAAAGCTTTGGATTTATCCTAGTTATGAATCTGATTATCAAGCCTATGTAGGTAGGGATTACTGACCTTATGGACCAAAGTACAGTTATAACCAAAGTCTAGTGTGTATATTCATAATGTAAACCACTAATTCCAGACATTATACCGAGTAAACTATTAACACCAGGTCTATACCTATACCAAGCTCACGCATACATGTAGCTTGTGGCCCAATCCCTCACAGGGACTTACTAGCAAATCCAAGTTGGTTATTGCCGCCGTGGAAGACTACGAACTGCGCCTTCAGGAAGATATCCCCATAAATAGAAAACGGGAAACCTGCCGCCGAAGCCTGTATACCGCCGAAACACGTCGTCGCATTCTCGAACGAGTCACCGTCCACGGGTGCGTAGTTGATGAAGTCGCCGGGGATCACGGCCTGGTGACTCCCGATTATCGCCGTGTAATCCGGCAACGAGGCGGAACACGGGAAGACATACCCCCCTGCTCCCCTTACGTCGTTGACAGCTCCCTGCACCTGCGAGTAATACGCGTCTGCAATCTCTTGCGGGAGAAGCAAGAGGGTAGTGCCTGTATCTGCGATGGCCTGGTGCGGCGCAGATACAGCACTCGAGCCGGCGATCGAGTACCCATCCGAAACAAACTGCCAGAAGCCGGAGGACGTATTAACGGGTACGTATGTGATTTGTCCCGTAAACTCGGTGGCATCGATGAAGCCAAAATTGTAGTTGCCCGCTGTGACCTGTCAGTAGACTATCCGCATAATAATAAGCACTGGTTCGTGATGGGCTTACGCTCTGCTTTCTTCAGATTAGCTGTGAATAGAGGAGATGCGAGATCTGGTATCGCGTTCTCGAAGAAAGTCTTCTGCCGGGTAGGTTTAACCGTGTTTATAGAACCGAACGCCAATCCTAGAAGCCCGTCTGTATCAGATCGTTGCGTAAACGCCACCGAGACGTTACGAGCAGACTCCACTGCTTGCTTCTGAACCGTAACTCTACCGACTGAGACCTTATCCAAGTAGACATTACCGCTGGAGCTGCTGCCATCGCCGTAGCTAATACTCCATGATTCCCCCGTTAGCAGCTGGGCCGTCGAGCTCTTCTCAATATCCCACTAGAGTAAAGGAGGTTAGTAACGTTTGGCCCAGGGAGTCAATAAATACATACGGCGTCTTGGCCCATAACTTGAATCCCCGGCGTCTCGGAACTAAATACCCACAGATCGGACGAGCCTGTGTCAAAGTCCAGATTCAAAGTCTGCGGCGGAGTACCGATCTCTACCGGGCATAAATACTCGGAATCGAACATCTGCGGAACCGCTGCTACCTCGCCTAGAAACAGATAAGCCAAGGCAGTAAAAGCAAGGGGAATGGTTATACCTTGAGGATCAGCAGTCGTGTTATTCCCAGCCCCGGCCCCGGCCCCAGCTCCAGCGTTCCCCAATAAACCAAGCTCCTTCAATATCTCCTCTATGGTGGAAAGCAAATCATCAGAAATCGCAGCGCCGTATTTCGAATACGCCCTCGCGATAGCCATAGACCCACCCCCCTTCTGCACGCCGTAGAATTTCTTATTCGGGACCTGACTGATCTTAAACGTCATGCCCCCAAGAGTCGTCACCTCAAACAAGGGATCCATCATTCCACGCTTCTGCACGGGACCAGCCGACGCCAAGTCACGGCAGCAGAAAACGTACGCCGCCAAGGCAGCGGCGGTATTCGTAACCTTCATAATAACAGTATCGTCGATCTTATTACCTAACCTAGCAAAAAGGAACGACTCGGAGAAAAAAGAAAAGAGAAAGAACCAAGCTCTCAGAGAATAGAACACGACCGCTCAGCTAGAGCAGACTCGAACAGATTACAGAAATCCCGAACCGGCGAGGCAGAAACCAAGAAGAAAAAGAACGAGTAGGCGAGAGAAGACGAATACTGTCAAAAGAGCGGCATAAAAACGGAAAAGAGAAGAATAGAAAAGCAGATTTCGAAGAAGAAAAAAAACTAGACAGACAATTACTCAAACCTACCGCACCCGGTTTCACACCACGCCCACCGGCGTAGCCATCCCGAGCGCGAATGCGTGAACGGGGGTTAACCCAACCCCGATCGGTAGCCTATGTATCGCGAGGGATGATTGATACGCCCAGGGGCCAGCCAGTCGTTACGTTACAGACTCCCCATACATATCGAATATCGAATATCGAGAGAGAGAGAGAGAGGAAGAGAAAGAGGAAGAGAAGCGTTCGCACCTTGTCGGGCGATCATTCATGCCTTGCCTGTTACGGACGGGTTTAATGCTTAAACGAGATGATCAAACGTGTAAGTAATCAAGCAATATTCGCCGAATATTGCCGGCTCTTATGCGGGATAAGACAGAAATAACAGTCATGGTTCCGAAGCTTGTCGAGGACTCAATATATATATATATATATATATAGGGATAAATACCTACACACTCGGGATACCTACCGTACCCCATCAAATAACTGTCAAACTCGTCGTCGCAGAGGTGAGGTGAGGTTGAGATGAGGCGAAATCGCTAAAGATAAATAAAAAGTAAGCGTCCGTGCGGCTATTGCTAATGCTTAAATTTCAAAGGGTAAAAAGGGGCTGAGTGAAGCAAACGCCCAGTTTCAAATGTCCACGTCCACGTGAAATGCTACGTCGGATATAACTCCCTAGGTTACCTACCTAACATAATACATACCAAAGTACCTAATATACGATATCCATTCGCGATGAGTTAACCTAGGTATCTCATGAGCCTCATCTTTAGTATCCTAGGCATATAGTTACATATACTTAAGACTATATGTACACGTCGTATAGACCGTATGTACCGAGTAATAATACAAATCTGCATCTATATGCCACCGCCCGCTCGAGCATCGCAAGGAATGAAATGCATTGCATTATATGTAATAAATATGCATTTCGGAGCCTGACCTGTACATTGTGATTGACCACCCTCGCCCTCCCTTTTCGCCCTAAACGCCTACGCACTATTAGACCTGTACTAGAAAACAAAAGAGGCGCTCATCTAGTCTGTCTAGTCAGAGCCGACCAGTACCGTACCACTCCCACACCATAATGACAGCCCAATATTAATGAACGTTTAAAGTTACAAGTATTTTCTTCTCTCTGTCGGCCAAATCTCCCCTAGTGGTCATGTCCATGTCCGTGATTGCTATCCTCGTTGTGATCGTGAGATACCGAGTGACTAGACCTGCGGCTCGATCCTGCCTTAGAGCCGGTTCGGGAAGGCAGCGGACAGCAACCTTGGCCCACGCAATCATCTACACATTCTAGAAGACACACATCGGGTGGGTAGCGTGGCGAGGCTTGTCCGTCAAGCGTCATAGAGCCGTCGTCGATGGGAATGCAGTCTTGATCCAGACAGAACTCGGGTTGGATGGTGGCGCTATGGATGCCATAGGCATGAAGGCATTTCCGTGCTTGTTTAGCGAGCTTCATGTACTTCTCTCCCCCTTCACTCGTGATGGGGAACGCGACCTGCACGTGCAGCGACGCGATCACCTTTGTGTCGGAAAGTTGCCAGATGTGGACGTGATGGCAGCTAATTACGCCTGGTAGAGCCTGGATGTCCTCTTTAATGTCCTGGAGATCGATGTGATCTGGCGTAGCCTGTAGCAGCACCTGGGCCGTCGCTTTCGTCAAAGGAATTGCCGATTTAAGAATGATGAGCGTAATAAATAATGACACAGCCGGATCAGCATAGTATCGTCCCGACCAATCAGTTAGCCAGATAATCAAAGCGGTAGCAATGACGCCAACGTTTCCCAGAGCATCGCCCAAGACATGGAGGACCATAGCGTTCATGCCCATGTCGGCGTGGTTGTGGCCATGACCGTGTCCCTTCTTCGACTTGGACGCCGGCCTGTTATGATGGTGGTCCAAGTGCGTCCCTGAGTCACGTCTAGCACGGTGATGATGATGAGAACTTCTCGACCGGCTTGAGTAACCCTTGTGGGCGGACGCCTTATCTGCCACACGCTCGTTCGCTACCAGGGGTGTGGTCTCGTCAATAGCAGATTCCTCACAAACAGGAGAATCCGCATAATCATCGTCGATAGAACTCTCATCAGTCTCCTCGTTACGGCTAGATCGGCTATGTTCGATGATGTCCTGTCTAAAGCTGGCCGGATGAATGCTGAAGTCATCAATACTAGCTAAGCGACTATGCTTAAGGCTACCTGCGCGTCGACGCTCTCTTCCCCTAGGAATGGAGCTCCGACTGGCGCCTCGTTCGTGGTGGTCCGCCTTTCCTAGCTGCTCGAATTGGATGTGACGAACGGTCTCTGGCGAGGCGTTCGCAGCACGGGCTCTTGCTACCGCAACTTCGGGCAGAATATCTCCCACCGGGGCGTTCTCGTCTGCCAATGCCTCTGTAGCGGTTACTCTACCCTCCTCGGCGGCTATAATGCTATCGTGCTTGTGAACATGTTCGTGTCCATGCTCGTGCTCATCATCGTGGGAATGGTCGCCATGATCGTGTCCGTGTCCTCCCAGAACCAAAAACCCGACTAGATTCGAAGCCAGCCCGCAGCAGCCCACGATAAGAATGAGTTTCGGGTTCGAGACTTCCTGAGGCTCGATGAACCGAGTTAACGCTTCGAGAATGATAGAGACGCAAAGGGCGATTAGGAAAACAGCGTTGAAAGCAGCACCGAGGATTTCGGCGCGAACCCAGCCGTAAGAAAATTTGTTGGTAGTTTCTCTCTTGGCGACAGTTACGGCCCACAGACCAATAATCAGCGAGATGATATCGTTCAGCATGTGGAACGCGTCTGCCATCAAAGCCAAGGAATGGACCATAAAACCCGATATCAACTCCACGAGAAAGAAGACGACATCAATAGCCAGCATGATGCTGATCCGGGTAGTTTTCGACCAAGCCATCGCGTCGGTTTTGGCGCTGGACTAATCGATAGATGTTTGTCGAAGAATGCGACGGAGCCGGAGCTCGTTCACTTCTTGTCCTGTGGTTATGTATGACAGAAGAAGAGGAAAAAAGATTAGTGGCGATAGCCCGGAACTGCGGGTTCGCTTAGACAATCTAGGAATCTAGAAAGCTAGAAATCTAGAAACCTAGGCCGGCCCAGCGTTGGTTGGTGTGATAAAATAGAAAGTTAAGTGTGTAATTAAACAGGTAGGTATTAGACACTAATTGTTGTAGCCATACGACCGTCGGCACCTTGGTAGGTATTTATTGTCTGATTGCCTGCCGACAGGGCGACGAAAATTGCCGGTTCGAAACAGACGAAACAAATGAGGATTTTCTGAGACGTAAAAGTGGAAGAATTGGGGGGCCTCTTCTGGTTCTTCTATGTAAAAAACGCAAGGGGACTTTCTTGTGGAGCCTAACGGGAGATCAAAGATCCATAACTACATGCAGATATGCAGACATGCAGACGCAGCGGGACCTAGTCAAAACGCAAGCTCGGAGAGGAGCACTGCTCGGAAATCGCAAATGGTGGGGATGTTGTTATCAGATGAAGCACAGACCTGACAGACGCGGTAGACGCAGCTAAAACCGAATGATGTTTGTCCTGGGTGGGATTGGCCTTCCGAGGAAAGAGGGAACTTCTACATAAGGGACTGATAGCGCTATGTATTATGTCATACATAGAGGTTTGCCGCTTGTTCTATCTGATTGAATCAGAGCATCTCATTGGCCTGCTTTATATGGAAAGTATCGAAATCTTTTATGGCAGCAGCGAAGTACTATGTAGGTAGGTACCTATGTATAACCGAATAACCGGGGTTTCCGTTAAAATCGGGCTGACCGGATGGCACATAGGCGGTAGGTTATGCACCTAGGATGCACCTAGGAAACCTTATGATGTCGTAACATTAAACATTGAAGAAACATCAACCGATTCTGCATACCCCTATATAGGTAAGTATATATCCGACCCATTATCAAACGACTTCGACAATTCTTCGTGTGCTGGAATGCGCACCTCAATTATAATTCTCGGTAAGCAATCTTCGGATTGTGTTTATTCCCCAATATTCGGGACCCATTCCGAACAATGTCGCCCTTTTCGCAAACGACCCTGATGATAATACAATAATAATAACATCAATGCCATATCTTCCCTTGAACGGACAGGCGGGTCGAAGGCCAAAGAAGTCGGTAGCATATTTTCTAACTAGGGGTAAATAATCGCCCTTCTCTTATAAAGCCTCTTTACTCAGCATACTTACAACCGCCACCAACAGTCCCTTTCAATGTCCCTTGTGACTAAAAATCTACGACTGAGCCCAGTTCTCAAACGCTCGAGCATCGAAATAAATGCATTCACGGAATATTAAATCTAAATCTAGTAACCACCCAAAACTCACGCACGGAGTCTGCGTAGCACGGCCCACCAACATTACCGTTTGACCTGAAGTTTTGACAGCAGTGACGTAACTTACTTTTCTGGCCCTCCCTAAATTAGAGTCTTTTAGGGAAATGGGATACTTTGCATCGTGGTTTTAGCTTCTCCCTACCCATACAGCAACCCATCACTAACCGCCAACTAATTCTTCGACGCTTTAAAAGAACCCTTCTCATTCCGCGAGAAACTCTAAACTACAATTCGCCCCACTGTAGCTACGAGAGTCTACGGCTATACATACCTACTAACAGTATTCTTTGTTGTAGATGTCTTATCTAGAATCCTAACACTTCGGCTATGTGTTATGACGACCCTTGGCGGTCTTTAAGGTGCTATCTAAGATTCAAGTCTCCTCTAAGCTGGCTGAGTAATGTCCGAAGTAGAGCTGTGAGGTTTCTCAACATCTTCTACAACATTTTGCCTTGTTACCTTACCAAAATATAATATTACAGTAACAATCGTCACCCTGTCTACGACATTTGAGGCATTCAGTCACAAATGGCCGAAAAATGACATTACATCCCTAGGTTCAGTATTAAAACCACCCATAGATCCCATAGATATAGTCACGTGCTGTTATCCGTATAGCAGACGCTCAGAGATACAATTAGTCTCACTGACTTGATAGTTAAAGGAATAACTACCATCGTATCATTAGTATATTCTCACCCCGGCATTTTTTTTTGACTTATTTAGCTGAGAGGACTCACTTTCTACCACCGAATCATTCGTGGCTTAGGAGTTATTTAATAAGTCCTTGTTGGCCTGGCTCTTCCGAATATTGTCTCATTATCATAAAACATCTTGCCTTTCTTCTTCTTCTTCCTCCTCCTCTTCATCCATTCGAGCATCTATATGAGTAAATGGAGTACTCGCTGCCGAGAGCATATAGCTTTTTGGTGTATCATCTTAGATGCTGGTATGCTGGATTCCATACAGATAATAACACGAAACTTGCTAGCAGATTTGTTAACATAATATCTAATATACTATTAACACCAGTTACGAGGTGAATGAAGAAGCATGGAAAGAATTTCGTTGGTCCACAAGAAACTTAATCCCGATTGAAAAAGCCAGTGGATATACGTACTAAATATATCATTTGTTCTGGATGTCCCATCCAAGATCCTAACAACATTTCAGATCTTAAGACCTCGAATTATATATCAATAGAAGTAGAATGAAAAAAAACGAGGTAATAAAGAAGGCTAGAGCCACTCGTTGACGGCTTTCTCGGAGACTCGTGATAGCATTCCTAACATTTAGCAACCTTCCTACCCCTGACAAGATATATGACCGGAATTGGTCGGCTCGGGTCAAACCATATACTAGCTCAAATGCATGTAAAATGTGTTGAAATTGGGTATAAAGACAAGCATTTAGAAATCGGGGGCAATGTGAATGGAAAGGTAAAGTCATCACCAGTAACTTTGAAAGTAGTTACCTTAACAGTTTTACCACTGAGCTAACAAATTAGACAATCGTTTTTGTTCGTCAGAGATACGAACGGCCTGAGGGAAATATTCTATCCGACGAACACGCAATCGTAGCAGGGCGATAGCAAGTAAGTAGGTACCTGGCAACACATTATGCTCAATTCTCGCGACATCGTTGACAAGACGACAAAATACTTCGAAATGTCCAAGCAGTGAAAGCAAGAAATGTTATAGTCCAGCACAGAAAGGGGCGGGCAGACGTTTCCTACCCTCTCTACCAGTATAGACAGGGTATACTTACCCTTCACGACCGCCGTCCCTACCATGCTCTACTTGGCTCCTCTCTCCGTCTACCCATCGTGAAGGGGATACGACGACGACCCTGCCATTAATACTACCCAGAATGTCAACGCCACCCAGTAAGCATTCTCAATCCGCAAATCCCTGCGTTAGTCCCCCCCAAACCGGTTGCAAGACGGCTTCCCCTCAGCCGTGGGTTAGTCTCCGGACGTAGCATGGGAGGCATCACACGAATCGAGCATCCTGGCCTATAGATGCGGAACATTGCCTCGCAGACAGACACCATCCTCCGCCTGAGACAGGATTTCCTGAAAACCTAGACGTTAGGGAGTTGCGAGCGGGCTTCTTCGGGGATAGGGGGCGAGATGTGGTAATCGAGCTTGCTTAAAGGCGTCTGGTAAGAATGATGGATACGGTCACAGGACACCGAAGCCGAATTACAAGCACGGTAGCCTCAGTAACATATATTTTCCCTGCGGGTATATCAATGGCAATGCTTCTGTCTTCGATTGGAGTTGGAGTGGTCTCCTTGCCTGCGGCCTAGTCTGTCGATCTCAACGGCCACCTAGGGGGCTCAATGATTTGCCACCATTACCTCACTATATTATGTATGTATAATTACGTGTATTTATATGCTCTCCAGGCGAGCTAGCCGCGCTCGTGCTTAGTTATTGGGCTGGACAGTAGTTTGTGTGAAAACTTGATTAAAACCTATGATTAACTTTTGAGACAAATGAATATAGGTTACGACTCTAGCGGCAATGGTTCAAGGATATATTACTGTATTGGTCTATAAACCTAACTTAAGATCCGGGGGTATTCAACTGCAGGGCTACCGCACCTATGCGCCAACCGTGACCACCTGTTGTCGTAGCATCTCTATCGCCACTTAGAGGCGGGGGGGGGGCAGACGGACGAAGTAAGTGGCTATTCCTGAGCAGCGGTCACAATGTAGGTGTCATCCTGGGCCCTGGCTGCGGGAGGAACGGGACGTAACAATTCATCTTCGCGCGAAATGGTATCTACTGCCAAGCGTGTGGTGCATGTCGGTAGTGTACGTCCATTGTTACAATACTCCCACTCGTGAGAAGCAAGTTGGATACGGATGACCTAAAGGTATTTTTAAACTTACAAGAGAGGACCGATCTGCAGGCCGCCGTAGGGTACTCTGAAGAATGTCGGTATGAGAGAGGGAGGACTAGAAGAAACGTAGTATACGTGGGTCAACCAACTAGCTACCTGCCTCTATAGGTTCGTACCTACATTGATGGGATCCAGCGACGCAAGGCCGAAATATAAATGAACCTTAGGTTACTATTATATGGTCGAGCCGCGGATAAGTTGTCTATGCGGGGGGGAGTATTTACCAACTTCCGGCTATTGTTGAGTAGGTACTGCGGATCTAAGCGAAAGCGTGTGCAGTCGAGACTGATAGTGAAAGAGGGGTCGTTCATCCCAGCAGAACGGTTTATCAGGAAAGGGGAGGGCATTAGTAAAGAGATCGTGTGTTATATTATATTTATTCCCTGGGATCTTGCGGGTTTCTTAGTGCTCCTAAGCGAAAACACACGTTAGCTACCTACTTCATCTACGTCTCTTGTTTAACCAGGGACCATTTCTCGCGTAACCCTAATAGTTATGTTTCTAGAAGCTCGCTGGCACGAGTATACAACCCTACTCCATCGAGGGCCGTTCATCTGGAGTCATGGGAAGGAATTTGTGACCGACGGCTAGACGTGCCTGATTGCGAAACTAACTCACCGCGTGATAGGTTTTCCACCTCGGGAGTTGTAAGGAAAGACCAATCTCGCAAAGCTGATGTGCGCAGCGCGAAGATTTATGATTTGGTCATTCAAAGTAGTGTAACCTCCCTAAACTATCCGAAGCCGTGGGGGTTTCTTATGGGAGCTACTTATTACTTAAGTAGTACGCGACATATGTTATGGCGTGTCTATAGCAATCGAAAAGCCGAAGAGGATAGCTAAGAACTGCAGTTGGGGAGCATCAGCTGCCGGCGTGCATATCGGAGTATACTAACT